AAAGGATGCATCGCTTTGATCCCTTTCTATTTTTCTGTTAAGGGAATAAACCGAACCAAAGATCTTCCTCCTTTACAACTGGATAAAAGACTGGCCACCTTTTGTAACTGGGCAGCGCAAAGCTACCAACACTTCCAAACTGGCAAAGCCATTTCAAGCAACAAGGTTGGTTCTCACAAAAGGGCATCCTGGCCCTCCGTAGGACACAGACAAGCTGTTCCTCAAAAGTGCAAGTATAGTTGAGAGTTGTCAGATCTCACTAAAAGGGACGTCTGTGACAAACCCCTAGGTGGAAGCCGGAGAGTGTGAAAACAACCACCAAGGACACGTGCATTGCAAAGTCTGTCATCTTTTCTTGCCTGTTACTTGGAACTCCAAACATTTATGGCTTTAGAATGACACAAAACTGGTCTAGAGCGGCACATTTTGTGGAGGGATGGCATGCTAGAACCCCCCCCTTCCCCGTTTCCCACAGGCCTGCCTCCCTATGGGACTGGAGCTTCTCTGCAGCGGCACCCAAATGGTGCCCCCCCATGCCTGAGTGGTCCCTTCCATCCTTCCAGTGCCAAGCCAAGGCCACCCCAGGACCACGGGGGCGGAGGGCTCGGCCGGCTTGATTAGGGCCGCTTCGAAGGGTCATTTCTATGCTACTCTGAGGGCTCCTCCCCCCCATGGTTCCCACCACTTTCCGGTGCCCACTGAATGCTTTCAGAAAGTGGGTGGGCCGGGCGGGGCTTTTGCTCAGCAGGGGTTCTGATTGGCTGTGGAGATTTGTGAAAAGTTGCTTCACCAACAACTGACGTTACTGAACAAAGATCTTCACTGAGTTACTGCGCATGTTCCTTTTAAAATTCCCTGAATTTAAAGGCTTCCTTTAAAAAGAAAAAGTCTCTTCCCTCACAGAGATATGCCTTTTTCCTTGTATCTCTGTGATGTAAGGAGTGAGAGACTTTAAAAAAACAAACAAAACAACAGTTGAGAGTTCAGAGAACCTGTTCCGCCTACTGCTACAATGCTCTAGTGGTATATCGATATTTTACTGCCATTTTGAAAAAACAGGAAAATGAAACCACTTGTCTCCACGGTGGTGGGGAGGAAGGAGAAGTGGTTTCACCACGACGGTCTGGTCATCGGAAAAGCAGGCAAGAGGAAGGTGGGAATGGGCGGGACAACTGACAGAAACATGACGCTCTAGGAAAAAAAGGTGGCTCAAAATCAGCTTCCAGAAAAAGAATGGGGTAAAAGTGATCTCAAAAGAACTGGAAAAAGCCCCCCCCCGTGGGGGGGGGGAGGAAATGAGTGAAAACTAAAGGCACAAAAATGTATGTGGACATCAAGGGATAAACCACATCACTATGGAGCTAGAAGCAATGAAAAAAAAACCCATGCAGAAAAACCCTCTGTCTGAAATTCAGATTCTCTGATCTGAATTGGCTTGCTGACGAATTGCCGCCGAAATTTCAGCCCCATTATATCCTATGGGCCATTGAAGTCAATGGCAAAAACAGGGTATATTCTGGGGGCTGGAGAGGAGGAGGTTTGACAGAGAGGCTCCAAACTTGCAGGGTAGCTGCTGGAGCCTCTCCCCATGATACCCACCAAGGTTCAAGAACACTGGACCAGGGGGTCCAATTCTATGGGCCCCCAAACAGGTTGCTCCATCCCCTCCATAGTTCTCTATGGTGGGGAAAAGGTTACTTTTTCCCTATGATGCTGTTAGTGGCTCTGGTGGGGAAGGGGTTTGAGGGAGCGGCTCCAAATTTTCAGGGTAGCTTTGGGAGCCTCTCCCCACATACACCTCCATGTCCCAAAGCAATTGGACCACTGGGCCCAATTCTATGGGCACCCAAACAGGTTACCCCCATCACCTCCATTGTTTCCAATGGGGAAACCCAGCCAGCAGCACTTAAGGCAGGCAAGCAGGCAGCACCCAGCAGTCAGACTCTCCCAGAGAACCTCAGGGATAGTGAACTGTCTTGGGAGGTGCTTGTTTGCCATGAGAACAAGTGGCACACTCCAGAACAAGTGGCACGGTCACTGAGCTATCCAATTTGACCCCAAGATCCCCCCCCCTCAGTCTTAGCAACTTCAGACCTTGATAGCCTGTATCTATGCTTGAAGTTGGGATTGTCCCAAAGTGCATCACCTTATACTTATTAACACTGAACTTCACTTGCCCCACTGTCGCCCACTCAACCTGTCTGTGGAGGTCCTTTTGGAGTTTTCACAGTCAGCCTTGGTTTTCACCATCCTGAATAATTTTGTGTCACCTGCAAACTTGGCCACTCCACCACTCACTCCTAGTTCCAGATCATTTTTGAACAAATTAAATAGAAGCGGCCCCAATACCGATCCTTGTGCGACCTCACTGCTTATTTCCCTCCACTGTGAGAAATTTATTCCTACTCTTTGCTTCCTGAAAGTTAACCGTTTTTAATCCATGAGAGAACCTGTCCTCTTATCCCATGACTGTTAAGTTTACTCAGGAGTCTTTAGTGAAGTACCTGGTCAAAAGCCTTTTGAAAGTCCAAGTATATAATGTCTACCGGGTCACCGTTGTCTACATGCTTGTTCACTTTCTCAAAAAAATCCAAAAGGTTGGCGAGGACGGACTTCCCTTTGCAGAAGCCATGCTGATTTTCCCTCAGCAGGCTTTGTCCCTCTGTGTGCCTAAGAATATCTTTGCTTACAGTTTCTACTAATTTGCCTGGGACAAAAGTTAGGCTGACTGGCCTGTAATTTCCTGGTAACCCTCTGGATCCCTTGTAGAAATTGGTGACACATTTGCTACTCTCCAGTCGTCAGGTACACAGCTGAATTGAGTGACATGTTACATATATGGATTAGTAGATCAACTATCTCACATTTGAGTTCCCTAAGAACTTTCAGGTGTATATCATCAGGACCTAGAGACTTTAATTTCCTCAATAGGTCTAGAACTTTATCTCTGATCACTTCAGTTTGCCTCGGTTCTTCAGGCTCCCTTCCTGAAAACTGGGGCTGTGGTATAGGTACCTGCCCCACACTTTCCACAGTGAATGCGGAAGCAATAAATACATCGAGCTTCTCTGCCATCTCATCTTCCTTTAGTAATCCCTTTATTCTTTTGTCATCCAAAGCCCCCACGGTTTCTCTGGCTGGTTTCCTGCTCCGGATATATTTTAGAAAAATGTTTATTGTTTTGTCTTGATGCTTTTAGCAACCCACTCCTCAAAATCTCTTTTTGTATGCCTAATTAATGACTTACATTCTTTTGCCTGAGTCTGTGGTCCCTCCTGTTTCATTCATTGGTGCAGATCTTCCACTTTTTAAAAGAAGCCCTTTTACTTTCTATAGCTTCTTGACTTGTGACTTGGCAGTGTCTTTCCTAACCTGTGGAATACATTGTATCTGGACTGCAATTAATGTGGTTTTAAATAGCCTCCAAGCATCCTCTAGGGATTTGACTCTCCTGTGTTTCCCCTTCAGCTTCCTTTTAACTATTCCCTTCATTTCTGTCAAGCTCCCTCTTTGGAAATAAAATGTGACAATTTTTGGATTTTAGGGGTAACTTCCCACTGACCTGAATGCCAAACGTAATAGCACTGTCACTGTTCCCGACTGGTGCAACAACCTCTACTTCTCTCATCAGCGTGGGGGGACCAGCGTAGAACCAAGTCCAATATCACTACCCCTCTGGCTGGCTCTGTGACCAACTGTTCCAGTGCAGAGTCATTTATGATGTCCAGGAATCCCATTTCTATAGCATGACTCAAGCACATATTTACCCAGTCAATGTGAGGGTAGTTGAAGTCTCCCAGTGTAATGCCATTATCTTCTCTATCTCACAATCAGCTTCCAGGGTTTGATCAGGTTGGTGATGGTATACCCCCACTTTTAACTAACCCTTAGGGGCCCAGTATTTCCTCTCACATTGCTTCTGTTGGGGAGTTAATTCCCTTGATGATTTCTAACTTATTATATTCTATGTCCTCTTTGAAGTACAACGCAACACCTTCCCCAACCGGTCCTGCCTATAGAGCTTATACCCAGGAATGACTGTATCCCATAAATTTCCCCCATTCCACCATGTCTCTACCTACTAGATCTACATTTTCACTGAGCAACAAGCACTCCAGCTCCCCCATCTTGATTCAGAGACTTCCAGCATTGGCATAACTTGCCCACCCTTTGTCCGGAAGGGGTCTCACTAGTCCCTCTCTGCTCACGTTTCATTACTGTGCATGGCATCCTGGTCCCCATTCCAAGGGTGGAGCACCCTTCATATGGCCACAAACTCTCACTGACTCCCCAGGGCAGGTACACTGATGAATGATGCACACCTGCCATTTGCGCTTTATACCTTGGCTGCAGGAGCTGGATGGCTCTGCCTGGTGGGGAATGGAGTGAGATAAAAATCGAATAAATAAAAAAATTAATGGGCAGGGAAAGCGCTTGCCATGGAGACCTTACCAGCGGCTCTTCCGCTTCCTTCACAAGAAGCTCATCAGGCTCTGTCACAACCTGAAAAACTCAGTTACTATGCCTCAGAGTCTCCCCTCCGACCAAAGGTACTGGGGCGTACCTGGGTGCAAATGCACAAATTCAAGGTCACTGTCTGGGGGTGGGTGGTGGGTGGGGAAGCCCCTAAAAGCACCTGAAATTCAAGACTGCACGTGAACAGGAGGGTTTTAGTTTGAGGACAGTGAGGGAACAAAACTGAAATGAAAGTAAAGAGAGGAAAGGTCTGGACGCAGCCCGAGAAGGTGGGAAGAAGGCAAAGGCGGAGAAGGGTTGGCGTGTGTGGATGGGTTGGGAGTGATGGCGTGGGTGGGTTGGGAGAGCCCCATGGCCAGGTGTACAATCGCTACCAACCCCCACTTTGTACTCTGCCGTCTCTCTCCCCTAAGGTTCTTGAGGGG